ACGGGGGAGGGGGGGGGGAGAATGCATTAATAATGAGATCGAGATTAAAATACAAGACGCGCGTCACGTCTTCACAATACTTTCTCTCAATTTTACTTGCGCAATTCAGTATATATAAGTATTTAATTTAATAATATTTTTCTCAATATGCATACATATATACAGCACGCGAATCGATATCCGTCTTCAAAATTACCCCAAACCATCTTACATTCGAGCGTATCGATTCATCCCCGGCGGAAATTGATTGCCCCACCGGCATGTATCGCATTCAGACATCCGGACGATCGTCAGCAAGTCGAAATCAGAAGCTGAAGGGAGGCGAAAGAGCAGCGAGATGGAGAGAGAGAGAGAGAGAGAGAGAGAGAGAAACGGAGGGCAAAGAGGGAGGGGGAAGAGTGGAGGATGCGAGAGTTAAATTAGTTTCCGGGGCAAAAGCTGGCTGCCGGCCGGTTTTCAGGACTAACCCCCGTGTATAATTCCAGAACAGCTCCATCAGGCCGGAACCCACGAAGAACCTTCCATCCAGACTATCCGACCGCCCTTCCCGGACCCCTTCTCCACCTCTTCATCCCCTGCCCCTCCCGCCAACGCCGTACGAGGCATCTCCTCCCTAACACATGTGCGCCCACCACCTTCCCGGACTTCGCGGGCGCTGCAGTTTGCGAAGTTAATTACCGTCGGATAATTGCGCCCTATATGCCGTCCGTCTGATTAATGAGACGCGGCTGAGCGAAGATCATCAGGGATACTGGAACCCTTCGCCACCCCTTTTCTCTTGTCGTCAAAGAACGATTCGCGGCTTCCTCCGGGATAACAAATTTTGTGACGAAAGAAAGATCGAACTGAAAATTTTTTAAATGTCTTACAAAGCCAGAGATTATTCAGAATAGATAACGCAACGCATAATTCAAACTGCTTTATTCGCTCTCTCTCTCTCTCTTTCAGTTTGGAAAGAGATTATTAAAGTTAAATGCAGATAAAATATATATGTTTCCGACCTACTTTCTCCTTTTAACAAAAAGATCGAACGTTCCTCTTAATGGAAATTATTTCGTGAGTTACTCATGAAAAAAAAATTTTCATGAAACGAGGTCTGGTTTCTATTTAACCCCTCGCATTCTATCGGAATTCTTCGAACCAAAAATCTTAAGATCTTCCATTTCTTTACATCTGCCAATATACATGTACTTAAGATCACTGCTCCTAAAATGTGATTGCTTGCGGAACTACGAGAATCTGAGATTAATTAATATTTGCGCAATCACGGTATTGCTCTCGGTTATCTCTGGAGGTTGTTCTGGAAACGATTCGGAGGAATCCTCGGGAGGACACACAGTACTCCTCCTACAGAAAGTGCTTTCACACGGCTTGCGGTTGCTTGGCGCGAGCAAAGCAGCCGTTTTCCTCGGCTGGTTTCTCCTCACTCGAAGAGGGAAACTCAGCAAGATCTCGAAAGGTTGCCCGGAACAGTTGCCTAGAAAGCTTGATTACTGACTTCACGTCGCGATGTCAACTCCCGTCCGATATATACATGCTCAAGAGGACGCTTACGTATACGGGTAAACGATCAAAGAGCGTTGATTGTTAATTAATTAACACTGGGGAATATATCAGATATCGTAATCCCGAGAGGCAACGTCTTAACGAACTGTATGTTTCGATTTCCACATTATAAATTGTTTATGTAAAGAGCACGTTTGCAATTAATATATTATATAACGCAAAAAGGAGACACACAAAGTGTGTATAAAGTTTAAAAGTTCAAAGTTAATTAATTTAAACAAAAATTTGATTAAAGTTACTCTTCCACAATTTCTCTAAAATATTTTCAAAAGCGAAAAATATTTAACAAACTCGACGCCACGCAAACACTCTCTGCTCGAATTTATAGTACATAATGTATAAACAGATTGTCACATTTCTTCGAAATTGTGTCCGTTTCACCGGGTCGATTCGAATAGAGGTCTTGTAAATCACCATGCACGATGCACTTTTATCTCAGCGATTTACGAAGCCGTGCTGACAGCCCGCTACTAGCGCTGTGGCTTTTGCAATTCATGATCCAGAAAAGCTCCGAAAGCGAGCTTTCGAAACGACGGCGAATTGAGGCCCGACTGTTTGTTTTCAACGCGCTACGAGTGTAACTGAACGTTTTCAACCACAAAATGATGCTCGTGGCCGGGCATCGTGTAAACACGCGTATTCAGCGTTTGCGAGACGCAATCTTTTTCTATTTTTTTTTTTTTTTACGCCCACCTCCGACACACACACGCTTTTGTTCTCCTTTCGCCGCAGGCCGCGTGCCTGCACTACATAAAGGCTCATTTTCGCGTCGTGGCGTTTCTCGCCGTTATCCCGCAAACGTCATAATCAGCAACGTAAAATATTGTACTTCTGTACGCGCGCGCGCAAGAAACAGATGCAGAAATGGCACAAATCCAAGTCTAACTCAAAGCCGACCTGCTTATCCAGGTGCAAACATGTACATAACTTTAAATACAGAGAGATTCGAATATATTTTTAATTGGATAAAATATGGAAAAAATATTTCTAGATATAATTAAAAGTGTTAAGAAAAAAAATGTACTTTTTCCTCTGTTGCAACAGAATTTTTAGTCCATCCTCCGTAATTGTCTTTCCTCGAATGTCAGTCATTAAACCATCCAGATTTTATCCGCGCTTTAACGCGAAAAAGACTATAGCGCTTTATGACGCGCGGCATATTTCCATTTATCGTTCTGTTATCATTCACGTCTATCTCGGTCGAAGCAATATGATGCAATCATAGTCGCGCGGCAATGACATAAAATTTACTGCGCCGGCTGTAAAATTTATTGTTGACGAGAACGTTCGCCGTCCGCGAGATCGTTACAGATGACCGATGCTCTAAAACCGACACCAGATCTAATCTAGCGAGGATTCAACTTATCGGCCGCTAATCTCAAAATAACGGACGTATTATAAGACTCAGCGGGATGAATAATTTAACGCGATTTTTCTCGTCAAAATTGCTTTTTACCTCCTTTTGCGCAAAATACGACTTTTTGTCTGTACACAATTTAATAAACGAATAAGCAAATTTAATAAATCATTACGATATATCCAGATCCTTTTTTATACCGCATTGCGGATGCAATTCACCGGCCGGATTGGTTTAAGAAATATCAGAGCGCGAAAATATCAGTAAGCGTTACTCTATGACACGGCTCGGCGAGAGATGCCGGCGAGAGATACGGCACGTCTCTGATTGCGTTTCTTAGTTCGCAGCTACCCCTTATTGTCCACCCCGTCCTTCCGCCACCCCTTTCGCCAACCGCGCCTGTCTTTCGTTCCCCTTCGCGTTCTCCTCTTAACAGCGCAGCTATTCTCTCTCGCGGTTTTTCTTTTGTCGTTCCAGAAGAGTCCCCAGGATCGGATTTAACCCCCTTTTAGCTTCAAGAATTCCTTTATAACTTCAGTAACTTGCTTTTTGTACGACAACGTATGTTATTAAAGTGCAAAAAAGGAATTTATTAAAAATGTAATTGGAATACTCGACGATATCTGTTTATTTAATTAAGTGATTATATTGTATTAGAATATTAATTCCCCTTTATAAGAAGCTTAGAAACGGAAAAAATGACGGTACAATAAATGGTATACGCCATCCATTTTTCAGAATTTCTCTAAGCTTCTTAGAATCTTTATACTGTCGTCGTAAATAAAATATGAAGTAAAAAGGTAATAGGGATTATAGCGTAGTAAGTGACAATACGACTGAGATAATAGAGGCACTTAACTAAAGCGCTTAAAATATATAACACAACCGCCGCTCGTGCCACATATGGGACGCCGCTAACAACCCCCGAGAGGCGAAAATTCGCGCGGGCGGCCCTGAACGGAGACGGCGCGCTTTAGAGTAAACGGAGAAGAGTAGAACGGGAGAAGCTTTACAGAATTAAGGAGCCATTCTCCTTTCATTAACTCACTGCGAGAGCCCAGGGAGGGAAGAGATATCCCCTTCCTCTCCATGCGCTAACTCATCCCCCGGTTAATCACTACGCGAACGAAAGCGACTGTCTCCGATAAAAGGGCCGGACTTTTATCCCGCTGGTGAGGCCATTTACCGCCGTCGCTTGGCAAATAGGTAAACGAGAGAGATCTTTCCCGATTCTCTACTGAACTCTCTTCGGCCGCGATCTAGATTGCGCTACTTCGTTAATCAAGAACGCACGGCTGCCTGCTCTCATTTTCCATCCTCATCTCGCGTTTATTTCCTCTGCCTTCTCCTCCCGCCCAAAAAGGAAAAACGTCTTCCAGTTTTAAATTAAATTTGAAGTAATCGGCGGCTCTCCCCTTTAATTGTTTTAAGAAGTACTTCTTCGGAGAAGAGAAATCCAATAAAGCAATTGTAATTGCTTAATAGTTAATAATTTCTAACTACCTTCTCGTTCAAGAAAGGATTAAAACGTTACCGTTGACAGTACAGAATTAAATTTGAAGTTGTCACGCGTTACCAGAGATACGCAATTTTTTATATATTCAAAAGTTTTTTTAAAAATCGCCCTTTTAATAACGGACTCTCAAAGAATAGAATATCATAAAATTAAAATGTCAAGAGTTTAATAGTTTTTAAATAAGAAACAGTTGTACAATTCACGAATTGTGAAGCTAACGTTCAGGTAATAAAATATATATAGTACTACAAGCGCTGTATCAGGTCGCTTCTTCGATCCGATATAAAAATTATCATATAAATGACAGACAGCCACAAATGCAATAATGAGATTCTCATTAATAGAATGTTCTCATTCGCGTAGCAAATTTCACAGCAAATCTCTCAACGATATACGAGAAACGCGTGATAATCCCCTTTCGTGTTGACATTGTAACGAATCGGGGAATATATCCTATAAGTAGTCTGACAACCGCACTACTCCGACGAGGGTTTAATCTTTACTATCACGGCGGACGCTCAAACCGCGCCATCGACCTTTCGGTCTGCTGTTAAGACTCACCGGGATCGGAAGTGGGATGCGCCCTGGTGAGTCGGCAGAGTTGTAATGGCAGATAACGAGTGTCCGCCCGCGGTGGTGACTTTGGCGGCGGCGGCGTCGCGCTGAGGAAGCCGCGCTGAAGTTCCCAACCCACTTCCTGGATGATCGAAGCCTTCCTGAAGTACGGCGTCACTTCCCGCAGGTATTTCACTGCAACAACAGAGCATCGTCAGCATCTCGTTTGACTAAAGAGATCGGCAGGAAACGTAAACGTTTACATTTTAACCTCCTTGAAACTTTCTCTCACCCTCTCTACATAAAGTATCTATCTAGTTTATAATTACACTTTTTTCTCTTTTTTCTCGCTCTAAAAGAATCTTGAGAGTATGTATCTATAATGTACGATTTAAAATACAGAAAGATTGCGAAAATACAAGTGCAACCAAAATCATGGATCTGATGATGAATTTATCTAATTGTCCTATTAATTTTTAATTCAAAAAAATATGTTTTTATCATTAAAACTTCAACAAACATTACAAATTTCCTTTAATTACTCTAACTCGAAAAAATTATTTTTGTTAAAAAAAAAAACAATACTGGAATTTCGGAGCTTATTATTATCGAGAAGTTTGTGAGCTGAAAATAGAAGAAGTATGTCAGACGCTAGAAAATAAAGAGAAAAGTTACTTTATATATTACTCGTACAGGTTCAAACATAGGTTCGCGAGTTCGGGGATCGGCAAGAAAAATCTAAACTTTCTTCACGCGAGGCTTTGAAACGAAAGTCGTGTCGCGGAAATCGAGTATCGACCTTTCGAATTGCGGGTAGCTCCTCCGCTTAGCCGACATCTTGTCGGCCCTATTACGCGAAATTTAATGGAGAACGTCGTCGTCACGTGGCGACAGCGGCGTGATGGGAATGGAATTCTGATGTATCGTATCCGCGATGATCCAATATGTCTGCCACGCAGCTTCACACGGATACTATATGTGAGTACCCCTCGTAACCGGCTTGTATTTACTCACTTTCGATCACGAACGACATTTCCGCAGATCGTGTCAATCCCCTTAATTGAATATATCAGCATTCATCAGCGTTTGCGCACAATGTCGGCGCCTTTGCCTTGACGTGACCTTATAGTTGGTTTTACAGAATTGACATGGCAATAAGTTTACGTATATCCACAGATCGAATCATTTTATTATTTTTTTAATATTCGCGAGTTCTTTGTACATTCCGCCTTTCTAGGTAAAGCCTAGAGTTTTTATTAAACAAAAATAATATCATGTTTCTGATTCGCAAGTTGCAAGCGAATAATCTCCGCGTATGATAACGGCAAAGTCAACAGCATTTTAGAGTTGGAGCTCGAGCGACATATTTCTCAGCCAATCTCCGCCGGGAGACACGGTGCGCGATGGAATTAATTAATTTCACGCTGAAAGGGCTTAACTCCCGGGGATAGGAATTGTGTCCGCGCGCGCGAACCGAAGATCAAGCTGCCGTCCAACTTTTCATGCGCGCACGTATGTACCTCCCCATCCATGCCGACGCGCGATGTGTGTTTCTATTGAATTTATTTCGGTGGAATCCACCCTGGATGCGGCGCGCACGTTGCTGATTGCAGCTACATCGAGCCGGCCAGGCCGGGCCAGGGCGCATCGAGACGCGCCGGACCCGACTGGCAGCGCGGACGCTTCGCTTGCCAGTCACGTATGCCTGCATCATTTGCTATGGGTTTCATACCAGCCATAACTCTACGGATATATCCACTCCTCCGTCTCCCTCCCCTTTCCACCCTTTCTCCTCCTCCCTTCGGCCTTCGACCCCTTCAAATCTCGCACCGTAACTGCCGCGCCGTGCGGTTGTGTCCTCTCGGGTTTGCAGCTCTTAATCCGCCGTGCATTCATTCGGGCGAGGAAGTGGCGTCGGAATTAATCAAGTCTCGCCTGTATGTCGTCGTTAATTCGAGCAAAGGCCCGCTAATTTTCATTCGCCGGCGAGCTGTTAACTCGCGGCGCGGCCTTTGACCAAAGGAGAATTCGCGAGACTCCGGGATTGAATGACATTGTGCCGCTTGTTGTCGGCAAGTAGTAGCGCCGTAGAATGACGCGACGAGGAGATCGGTGAGCTTTGATTGAGCTTTCATGCAGGTGTGTTTAACGGTGATTGTGCGATATTAATTAAACTTCTGATTGCATTTGGATGAGACATAATAGATTTCAAGTCATATCTCTAACGTTTCTAAGATGAAAAGTTTGCAAAATATAAATACACATGGATTTTAAAAAAACTTTGGCAATTCCGTAATATCTTCACAAATAATTAAAAGAATTAAAAATTAATCTGCGAATCTTTTACCCCATTTAATCTTATGAATATCACACTTGATACTATATTTATATCAAGATGGAGATATTCACTAGACTATCAATTTTAAATGATTCAATCTTCGATTCCCGAAATATCAGTTTTGAATTTAGCGTGAATCTAAATAAAATCACATTATATATTAAGTATTTGCACGTATGACACCTAGAAAATAATTTCTTACAATTTATATGTATAAAACAAGCAACCGAGAAACCTTACTATTTTTATCTCAACTCCCATGTGCGGGGAAATAAATTTTAGATACACGAGATATAAAAAGTAATTGGAAAAATACCGAGCCGCGAGTATATAACTGCGACTAGTTGCAGAATACTCTGCAACTTAATGTATATGCATATCGTAAAAAACGATACGTGGCAGCAAAAGAATCAAATAATAAAACATATTTAAGGGTTTGGAGCTACGAGCTTAAACTTCAGGCGATCGAGATTTCTCGCGTCGTTTGAACAAACAATTCTCGCGCCGTAAGAAATCGAAATTCGGGCAAAAAAAAAAACAAAACACATCATCATCGATCCGAGAGGACGAGGTGCGTTGCTCCAGCGGCGCATTCCGCTTGCATTCGCCGTCGAATCGGGCCGGGTGGCCGGCGCAGAATCAATCGACCATAATCGCGCCCGTTGAATCGGGTTCTCTCGTTTCCTGCGTCTGGAAAAAGCGTTTCGATGGCGACCGCGCGTACCGAATATCAATTGCCCATCTCGTGGCCCGAAAGCTGGCCCCTGCATTCAGGAAGGATGCCATCCCCCCGTTGCCTCCTCACTCCCTTTCACCCCTCGTCGCGTCGTCCTTGTTGCGGCCAGATAGGAAGCTAATAAACCGGAAGGCGGCTATCGCGCCCAGTTCGATAAATCGATCATGGCTCGATCCCAAGATCCGTAATTCGATCTTTATACGTCACGGCCTATTGAAGAACCTATAATTCAAAGCTGCACTACGTACACGATACGAACGTATTCGAGAGGATTCGTATGTTACTTTAATTAAGTTTCAATATAATATCGAATTCTCGAATTTTCTCTGGCTTCTTCTTCATTAATAAACTGTCTCTAATATAATCTTCTTTTTTTTTATATTTTATTTTTAAAAAAGAAATATGTACAAACGCGGAAGAGAGGAAAAAGGAGAAATATAGTCGCAAATTTTAGAGCATTATTATGTTATTATTTTCTGTTATATGTTAAAAGAAATTTATCATTTATCATTAATTTAATATGTACTTGTTTTATTATACTTTTATTTTATTTTCGGTTCGCATCTCGTCATTTTCGCGGGATATCCCTAAAACGAATGACGTAGATAGAAATAGCCACTGATAGAACGCAGGACGATATCGCAAAGATATCGCATCTAGCTACTCGTCCTGGGAGCGATATTCGTTTCGAACACTCCCGTTGCGATTGGCAACAGAATTCGAATCCTGCCTGCTCTTACGCGGCGAGAACCCATCTCTTTCTCCGCGCCCACAGTAAAGCCTCCAGGAATTGCTCTCAAAGGATCCCTATAGAGCGAAGCGTTCTCAATGTGGGGCAGATTTCTCGACAGATTTCCGAGTCCCAGCAAATTCTGATAGGACTATCCGAGAAAAAGAAAAAAACATTAGACCGAAAGTCCTTGCGACTTGCTTTCCGCCTTTTCATCCCGCGATAAGCAAAGTTTGGGGAGAACGAGTCTTTTACTTCTTCTTGGCACGACAATCTTAGCTCTTCTACGTGTTAATTGTTCGAGGACAAAATAAAAAAAAATTTCAGACGGTTTCACAAACTTTTGCTATTGTAATATTCGGTTGTGCCACAGTTTCTATATATTAATTGCAATCATATTATGTAAATAAAGTTTACTTAAAATAAAAACAAAAATGCATATTTTAAATAAAGATATATTTTAATCTGAAAATGTATATATGTCCTCAATTTCGTCGATGATCGTTCAACAGCTTCGATTGATAGTTTCCGCGATCCCGTAACTTTAAATTCAACACCGTCACTTTTCGTAAATCGCATATCTCGGGAACGCGATATCCTGCCGATAACGAGGTTACAGGAAATGCGCGCGACATGAGAGTCGGGGAAAAAATGTCGCACGAGTTATCAGCCGAATGATTGATAGACCGGCATATATTTTGCATAAAGCCAAAATTATACGGTACGCTTTCGATGAATCATGCAAGACATATCGAGTAAAAATTAGTTCTTGCAAAGTAAATTATCCAGTACATTCCGAGGTAATTTTATGAGCATTCATGCATTTTTAATCCTTTAACGTTTAAATTATATTATTAAACTTTTATTTCAATTTCTTCAATAATTTCAAATGCACATATGTAAACATATGAGACGTATCAACTTGTATATAAATGTAACAAAAATATATTCCGTGACGTTTTTAGGATTTAATGAGCATCTTGTCTACAAATCCTGATAAAGCCCTTTCTTTTAACACTCCATATGTATTGATACGTAACACACGACGATACGTGAAAATGTATCGATAGGGAAAATGATAATTTATACCAATATAAACATTTATAAATTATTAATTAGAATTAACCTGTGATATACTTGAGTGCCATCAAAGAAAGGGTTAAACGATCCGTTGAAAATTACTATCATGAGCGGGTGGTGTAAATTTGCTTTAACCTAACACATACACACACACACACATTCGTGTGTTGATATTGCCGCACAAATATCGGCAATTTGTCACACTCCCCTCCACTCTCTTTCCCTCCCCGCTTCCTCTTGCGCGCAGCATGTTACGTAACCACCTCTTCTCCCACTCACATACACATACACACACGGTCGCACTACACATT